ACACTTTGTGAGCCTTAAGACGGTGTTTGGGGGAGTCCTGTGAACCGGGAAGTTTGGGACTCCCTGGTCTAGGTGCCTTTAAGTGGAGCCAGGACTGTGCAGACTGCTCTAAGTGTGGGGTCTGATCAGATCTTTTGGAACTGGGGGTCCAGGGTTTGGTCCTTTTTCCTTTTTCTTCTATGGCCATCACCCCCTTGGTGACCGCATCTATGCTGAAGGCTCTAAACATCATCTACATGGTGTCACCTCCAAAATCGGCTTCTCTAGCCCAGACATTTCTCCTAAATTCCATACTCATCCATGCTCATCTGACTGCCAAGTTGATTCTCTCACATTTCTAATAGACATCTCATCTCATCATCTCTTCACTGACTGTCTGTGATGCCCCTCCCCAAATATGCTCCTTCCAGAATTTTCCCCATCTCTGCTGACAGCAACTCCATCTTTCCACTTGCATAGTACAGAATTTTGGGGTCCTCCCTGGCTCCTCTTTCTCATACCCAAGATCTAATTCATTAGATTGTGCTGTAAGGTCCATTTACAGATTGTTTCCAGAATCCCATCACTTCACACTCTTCCCGCTGCTCACACCCCAGTGGAAGGAGCAGACATCCCCAGCCTGGAACACTGAGCTGGTTTCCTACTGCTTTTCCCATGCTTCACCTGCCCCTTGCCTCCAATTCTGTTCTCAGCACAGCAGATAAAGTGATCTTTTCAAAGAGAAGCTATCCCATGTCCCTCTTTTTAAATTTTTGATTAAAAAAATTTTTTTTTTATTTTAGAAAGAGAGAGAGCATGCATGAGCAGGGGAGAGGGGCAGAGGGAGAGAGAGAGAGAGAGAGAGAGAGAGAGAGAGAGAGAGAGAATCCCAAGGAGGTTCCACACTCAGCACAAGGCCCAATGTGGGGCTCAATCCCATGGCTCTGGGATGATGACCTGAGCTGAAATCAAGAGTTGGATGCTCAATGGATTGAGCCACCCAGGTGCCCCACCATGTCCCTCTTTTGCTCAAACTGTGTTGTAATTCCCATCACACTCAGAGCAAAGGTCAAAACCCTTTTGATATCCTCCAAGAGTACCGGGTCTGACCATACTTGTATTTCATCTCAGTTATTCTCTGCTCTAGCCATACTGGTCTCCTGTCTCCTCCCAGAACACGCAGACACACCCACCCTCATGCATTCACACTGGAATTTCCATGGTCTGGAAAGACCTTGCCCCAGACAATCTCATGGATAATTCCTGGGTCCATCAAATCTTTTCTCAAAGCTCACCTTTTTAGGGAGGTCCACAGGGAGCACCCAAATTAAAACAGCCATCTCTTGGCAGAAGACATGAATAGATGTTTTTCCAAAGAATACAGATGACCAACAGACACGTGAAAAGATGCTCAATGTCACTCATCACTAGGGAAATACAAACCAAAACCACAATGAGTTATCTATCACCCCACACGTGTCAGAATGGCTAAAATAAAAAACACAAGAAATAACAAGTGTTGGCAAACAAGGATGTGGAGAAAAAGGAACTCTCGTGCGCTGTTGGTGGGAATGCGCACTGGTGCAGATGCTATGGAAAACAGTATGGAAATTCCTCAAAAAGGTAAAAATAAAATTATCAGATGATCTAGTAATCTTATTACTGGCTATTTACCCAAAGAAAATGAAAACACTAATTTGAAAACTATATTTATTGCAGGCATTATTTACAATAGAAAGTGTCCATCGATAGATAAATGGATAAAGAAGCTGTGGTATATATACACAGGATGGAGGTGGCCCAGCCCCATCTCTGCTGGCACAGAAAGGCAGGTCAGGGAAGAGAACACAGGTCAGAGTGGGCAGGGCTCAGGGTGGATGGGCCAGTCTCCCTACTTCCTCTCATTATGCTAATAGGAACACAGACACATTCAGATGCCCTTTGCAGAAAGAGAAGTCAGGGACACCGATGGCACAAGGCGGGAAAGCAAACAAATCTTGTTATCACTCAGTCCCCTACAAGGCTGCTGGCTCACACTGTGAAAGAAAATAATCATGAACAGATTCAGATCACTCACTGTAAGTGGTGACAATCTCACCCCACTGCATGCTCAAAACGTCCCACTCAAAGAATTCTCATAACCCAGTCGTGTTCCCTCTGTCCAGCCCCTCCCCACTTGAGGTCCTCCAGGATCTTACTTTAGCAGCCATGGGAGACACTTCAGAGCCCTGGGTACGGTCACTGCCCGGGTTAATACAAACAGGATGTGATCAGGAGATGAGACTAAAGGAGGAGCTATGGAGTGGGTGAGCTCCCCATGGGATCCTGTCTACACTATCCCAGGGTCTCAGGGATCACCCCCTGCATACTTACTTGCAGACTGAGTGTAGCTGCCTCCTTTTCCACCTGTAGGAAGAAAACACCGTGTTTGAGGCCATTTAGGAGGCAGGGCCATGAGGTCCTAGACCTAGTTCTGAACCCCAGAGAAACTTCCAGAAATGTGGCTACAGATTGAGGGCAGGATCAGGAAACATGAAGAAAGTACCTGTGTGGGGAATGGACAAACCGCCCTCCTATAGTTTGTCCTCAGCAGGGGCCTTCCTCTCTGTCCTATGACTGCTGTGAATCAGGTCCGCATCACCAGATTCATCAAGGTGAAACATTTGTCCTTCATTTTCACGTGTTTTACTACAAAGAAATTGTTAGCATTCCACTCCACACTGGACGAGCACATGTGTGTGGGTGGTACTTCCCATTAAGTGGGATAGGAAAACTCAGAGTATAGCCTCTCCCTGCCTGAGTGCTTCTTTCTCCAGATCACAGCTCTAAGCAGCACAGTAACCACAGGAGAACCAGACCAGCAACGATGTCCATGATGAGAGGAGGAGGCTCTGGGAGAGAAGGGAGGGACCCTGTACCCCAGGCATAAGCCCCTACCTTGCCGAAGTTCTTCAGAAGGGACATCTCCCCGAGAAGAGGCTCTGTGCCCAGGTTTCCCTCCTTACCCCATCTCAGGTCGACGGGCTCCTGTAGCCCCTCGTGCCGCACACGGCATGTGTATGTCTGCTCCTCTCCAGGGGGCACCACCACAGCCACCAACTTCTGGAAGGTCCAGTCCCCTGCAGGCCTGTGTCCAGGAGCTCTGAGTCCTGGGTCAGGTCCTCCCCATCACGCTGCCAGGGTAGAAGCCCAGGGCCCAGCACCTCAGGATGACATCACTGTCAGAGACGGGGTAGTGGGTTACCTGTGTCTTTGGAGGGTCTGAGGAGAAGGGTCAGAAAATAAAAAAAAATTCATGTCTGTCTTGGGCCACTGCAGCGGCATTCATGTGACCATCCTGAGAAAGGACAGTTCAACTGGGGTGGGAGAAGGGAGCAATAACCCAGACACCAGCCTAGGCATAGACATCTTGGATGATCTCTTCTTGTCTGGAAAGTTCTTTAATTAGGACAAGATAGCCTAAGGTAGGAGGCAGATCTGGGGGCGGGGCGGAGAAAAAGTATTTCTGGTCCCGACCTGAGGCCCAGTGACTCAGAAAAGCTGGAGTCCGAATTCAAACACATTGGTTTTGGGGTAGAGAACAAAACTAAGAAAGTCCCCATGGTTCCTAAAGCCGCTGCCGGAGTCGCTGATCAGTCACTTCAGAGATGGTTTCCCCCTCCATCCCCGGGGGATTGCATTCCTTAATCGTCCAGGGAGAAGCGTGGGCACTCTGGACAGGGTGCTCTTTGGTACCCAGTCTGAACACCAGAGCTGCTTCCTTCCTCTCTCCACCCCTGGAGTGGGGGGCGGGGGGCATTCTGGCATCAGTCCCATTGATCTCTGCTAATAGAGAGACACTGGCCCCAGGCTGAGGGAAGACTGGGGAAGTTCCTTGCCCCCTCATCCCTGCGAGCTGCGGCATCTGCTCTCTGTTCTGCAGCTGCCTGCGGAGACCCTCCACCCACTCTCCGTCCAGGTGGTTCCTCCAGCCCTCGGCCACACCGGCCACTTCCCACTTGAGGCGGGTGATCTGCCGGCTGAGGAGCGCAGGTCCTCGTTCAGGGCCCCGTAATCCGCGCGGTTCTTGGAGAATTGACTGTACCCGCGGGGGACCCGCCTGTCCCGCCCCACTTCTCATCCAGAAAGCCCCAGTCCCGGTGAGACCCTGGCGCCGCCCCCGCGAGAAATCCCTGGGTTGTTCTGGAACTGAGCCTGTTCAGCTTAAATTGGAAACAAAACCCGAGCAAACAAAACCGGGCTCTTTCCCGGTCTAGGGGCTTGTCGGTGGACCTCGGGGTGACCTTCGGACCTGGAAATGAGGGCGGACATTGGGATGGGGGTCGTGACCTGGACTCGGGCCCGCTCACCGGACTCGCTCTGGTTGTAGTAGCCGCGCGTGTTCTGCAGGCTCATTCGGAAAATCTGTGCGTTGTCCTTGTAAATCCGCGTCTGCTCGTCCCAATACTCCCGCCCCTCCTGCTCCATCCACTGCGCCCGCGGCTCCATCCTCGGATTCGGGGCGTCGCTGTCGAACCGCACGAACTGCGTGTCGTCCACGTAGCCCACGGCGATGAAGCGGGGCTCCCCGAGGCCGGGCCGGGACATCGCGGTGGAGAAATACCTCAGGGAGTGGGAGCCTGCGGGCGCGGAGGGGCTGAGACCCCGCCCGACCCTCCTCCCCGCGCGGGGCCCACGTCCCAGGGGGAGTCGGCCGGGAGGGCAGGGGGAGGGGGATCTGAGTGGGTGAGAGCGGGGCCTAATCTGGGAGGAACGGGGGAGGACAGGTGGGGGGTGGGCAAGGGGCAGGTGCTGGTCTGGGGTCGGGGCGGCGGCGGACAGTCGCCTTCCCCGGGGTCCTGCATCCCCGCGGGCGGTCCCCGCGCTCCTGCCCCGCAGCGGCCCTTTCCTCCCGACCCCGCAGTCACCCGCCCAGGTCGCGGTAAGGAGTAGGCTTCCCGAGAACAGGAGGAGGACGGGTTGTGGGGTCCATGCAGCAGACCCTCGGGGTCTTGGGAAAAGCTGAACGGAGCCTGTTCCCGAGAATTTTGTATGCGGCAACAGCGGTGACGCTAATTGTTTCTCTAAAACGGGAAACTCAATGGGAGTGCGCACTGGGCTTCCGTCATCAGTTTCCAGGCAGGAGGACGTGACCCAGGCTGTGAGAAGGAGAAGTAAAACCAGGGGAGTTAAGGACTCCCTAACCCTGGCCTTCCCTGCGCCAGACACCGCCCTCGTGAGGGTACACGAAGAGTCAGGCCCTCCCGGGAGTTCTGAGACTTTGCCCTGACCTCTCTCCGCATGCACGGTGGTCAGGTGACGTTGTCATCCTGTCTTCCTGAGTCCTGGCCCAGGGGCTGTCTGAGGAAAGCAGGGAAAGACGCACAGGCTGGGCTCAACTCCTTTTCCGGAATATTCGCTGAACTGGATTCTCTTACCTCCTACACCTTACCTTTCTTCCTCTGGATTATTCTAGAAAACTCACTCCCAGGGAATTCGATACAAGAGAATGAGCTCACCCTGGGGACAGAAAAGGAGGGACAGAGGTTTTCTCTTTAGACATGGAGAAGCTGTACCTGATTCCAGTTTCCTTCTTGTTGATTAACGCTAGTGGTAGCACAATGTTGGTAACCCCTGAACATCAGGAATCTAAACTGTAAATGTGATTTTGGCCCCACCCTACAGAAAAGTGACCATCCAGCACAGCAGTCAGACCCACAAAGCTCTTAAGTTTTCCCAAACAATGTATCAGTGACTCCTGTGTTTTATTCATTTTTGAAAGACAGAGAGAGACAGAGCACAAGCAGGGGTGGGGTGGAGAGAGACGGGGGGACACAGAATCCAAAGCAGGCTCCAGGCTGTCAGCACAGAGCCTGACGCAGGGCTCAAACTCACAAACCGTGAGGTCATGACCTGAGCCAAAGTCAGATGCTCAACAGACTGAGCCACCCAGGGGGCCCTGACTCCTGTGTTTTAACATTACCTTCATTCCATAGCCCCAAGATTATCTGTGTGAATGCTGGACATTTCCTCAGTCCATGGATGCACAACTGTTATGTATATTTCCGCTGGAAGAGTAGGCAAGCTATAATCAACTCCCAGTTGCAAGTGTTCAGTGCAGCCAGATGCCCCTCACCAGTGTTCTCCCATTTCCTGTGTTTGAATTAATACTTAAATTATGTGCATATTGTTGGGGCACTTGGTATTGTTTTCTTTACCCTGAATATCATAAGGAGGCAATGGGTTTTCAGGGAGCCCCCAGAGTATAGTAAATAGTAGATGCAAAGAATGTCTTGCTACATCCTGTAGATAGAGATTTATTAAAAATCTGTATAACAATGTATTTAAATCTGAGAATTCCACTGCTTAGAATTCTTTCCCTCTGCTTCTTTTCCTCACCCTGTGCCTGCAGCCCTTCTCTCTGTCTCTCTCATCCCTCAGGCCCTCTCCTCCCCTTAGTCTCCACCATCCTGTCCCTCCTGGATTGTGGCCCTGGTGCCCTGCATCACCTGCCACCTGGGGCTCTTCTCCCCACAGGGGAGTCTAACGTCCTGCTAATGTGAGTCAGCGGTCTTGCTAATATGAGTCAGGTCACATCACGTGTTCACTGAAAATGTTCCAGTGGCTCCGTCTCACTCTTGAGAAGCCTCTAGAATGTAGGGCACATGAGCACAGGGGCTTTGGGCTATTTTGGTGAAAGCTGTCTCCCGGCATAGAAAGCCATTCCTGGTGTATAGTAGGCTCTAAATTAATTGTTGTTGAATGAATGAATGAAATGTGACTATTAGTATTTAATTGCATCACATAAAAATCATAAAATGAAAAATACATAAGCAAAAATAAGGAAAGTTAAACAATTTTTTTAAAGTTTTTATTTTTGAAGGAGAGAGAGAGACAGAGCATGAGTGGGGGGGGAGGAGGAGGGAGAGAGGGAGACACAGAATTCGAAGCAGGCTCCAGGCTCTAAGCTGTCAGCACAGAGGGCCTGATGTGGGGCTCGAACCCACAAACCGTGAGATCATGACCTGAGCTGAAGTTGGACGCCTAACTGACTGAGCCACCCAGGCACCCCAAGGAAAGATTTTATTTCATCCATCTAGTGTGCATGAAGTTTCATAAATTCATTCCAGGGGCAAGACCTCTACGTACACTTGAGGCTGTGCAGTGGTTTCCTATTGCCGCAGAACAAATTCCCACAACCATAGTGACTTACGACAGCAGCCATCCATGTGTCCCAGTTCTGCAGGTCAGCAGTCCAGTGTGATGCTGAGGGTTCTCTCCCGTGTGTCACAGGCAGTGTTTGCACCTAGCGCTCAACATCCCCTCCAAGCTTGAACAGAGCTGTTGGCAGAATTCCATTTCCTGGAGCTGGAGGACTGCGGTCCTCCCCCTGCAAGGGTCCACTTCCTTGCACAATGTCAGTGGGATGCTGCTGTCAGCTCCTGTGGCCACCAGCACTGCTTGCCTGGTGGTCCCTTCCATGGTCAAGGCCTCCGTTGGGGTGCCTGGGTGGCTCAGTCAGTTAAGCGACCGACTTCAGCTCAGGTCGTGTGATCTTGCTCAGGTTCATGAGTTCAAGCTCTGCATCAGACTCTGTGCCGACAGCTCAGAGCCTGGAGCCTGCTTTAGATGCTGTGTCTCCCTCTGTCTCTGCCCTTCCCTGCTCATGCTCTGTATTCTTTCTCCCAAAAATTAAAAACAAAACAAAACAAAAAAACCTTTTTAAAATAAAATAAAAATTAAAAAAGGCCTCCCTCACCCTGAGTCCTGCTCATTCAGCCAGGCCTTCACTCAGGAAGAACTCCATCCTATTAAGGGCTCACCTGATGCGGTCAGGATTACTCACAATAACCCTCCACTTTTAATTCAGCTGATATGACCCTTAACTGCGCATGCAAAGTCCATTCACACTAGCACCTGGATTAATGTTTGATCCAACAACTGGGAGAATATGAACAACCTGAGGTTGGTTAGGGCAGCCATCTTGGAATCTGCCCGAGACAGCCTGGTTCTTCCTTTTTCTCTAATTGGATCACAGTCAGAGACCAAAGTCCAAATAAATAGATTGTTTGAATGTTAATAGTATGTATTCTGTCCCCTTAGATATAGATATTCTTCTTAAATCTTAAAACTAATGGATGATTGTTTAACATCTCATAGTTAATTTAGAGCCAACAGAGAAAGAGAGAGAGAGAGAAACCCAGCTGGAAGCTGCCGTGTGTTTTATGTTCTGGGACCCAGAGTCACACACCATTACATCAGCCTTTTCTGTCTGAAGTGAATCCTTCAAGGCAGCCCACACCCAAGAGAAGGACATTCAGATCCACCTCTGGAAGGGAGGCTCTCAAAGGATTTAGGTACACGTTAAAACCAAAATTAAAATTAAATATTGTTTTTTGGATTTGGTAAGTCAAATCCTACTTTCATCCATTATTTTTATTGAATGCTTCAGAATTCTCTTTGGAAGGTAATAATGAGAAGTTTATATAAATTGAACATCCATAATAAATTTAACATGTCTCAGTATGTTTTTCAGTGAGATTTGGTAGAAGAGATTTAGGCATCTACAAATTCTAAAAAGCACTGTTACTATGTACCATTTTTTTTTTTTAAAGCAGCTCTGTTGTCGTTTCCATTCATTTCTCCTATTTCATTGGTGGTTATTCCTTTGTATGATTTCCAGCTTAATTTACATTGAGCAACAATGTACTTTTTCATTCTGTGAATGTACTGAATCTAGGTGAATGTGAGGTTAATGTGCCCGCTCAAATCCTTCACAAGACAGAATTGCCTTGCACACTGTATGCAACATTGTATGCCAGAAATCAATCGAGATGCCAGTAAGCAAAAGATCAAATGCCCTATGTGGAGCCAAAGCTATTGTTGTTATAACATTCTGTATCCTCTCTCTAACATAGTGCAGAATAATTGACCGTGGTTTTGTTCCAAATGCAAATAGTTCTTTCGAAGTATCTTTGAAACGAACTTTGGTATTTCATTTTTAATTTCCTTAGAAACATTAACCTGGAATGAATGGTTAACAAACTCCAATTTGAAAAATGACAGTTTAAGGAGTTCTGATACAGTAAACCCCTGGGCACCTGCACTGGGATAAGAAACAGAAGGAATGAAGCCCCGTGGACCACTGCCCAGTCCCATCCCCCCATGTGTAACCTCTGTCCTGAGACTCCTGGTTACAATTCCTTTGAGTTGCCCTAAAGATATTACAATAAGTGTATATATTTCCAAACAAAATATTATTAGTTTTTGCCTGTTTTTAACGTTTCTGTAAGTGAACACATGCTGCACATATTTTTCTGTGACTCAGTGTCTTGTCTCGTTGACTTCTCTCTGATGTGTGAGGCGTAGTTCACTCATTTTTACTGGTGTAAAGTTTTACATTTTGTGACTCATTTCCTATTTATGTTTATGTGGTCATTCCAGTTTTTTCCATAAACATTACTGAACGTGTCTTCTGGGACACACGGGTCAGGGATTCCCCAGAGTGTACGATCAGGGCTAGGATTGCTGGACTGTATGCAGGATGTGCTGTAACCAGACCAGCACCCGCGAACTTGATTTCCAAAGTGCTTGTGTCAGTGTAACCTTTCACCAGGCGTGTGCATGTGTCTCTGTTGCTGTTCCTATTGCTCTGAAAATGAAACTGAGAGGCAGCTCTTTCACCTGAAGGGCAGGCAATAAGTGTGAACATTACTGCTTGGTTGCAGGACCGCCCAGGTCTGACCCTATTAATAACTTGATTTCCTTTACTTGTATTCCATATACCTAGTTATTATACTTGCAGCCTCTAAGTCCAGATATGCTTCCTCTCTGCATCACCATACAGTATTATTTTATTCGTTTGGAATCTTTTATTGTATATGTTTAGAATCATCCGTAATGGAGACAGCGGAAGGGAAAAGTGGGGGCAGATGGACACAAGCAAAGACAAAAGACAATAGAAAATAAAACCAAGAACAAGAAGAGAGGAATTGCAAACAGTGAGTAAAGACAACATTTTCAAAGTGCAAGGAAATAAAAGAGAGGTAGAATAAAATAAGCTTTAGAGAGCTTTACTAGTGATCTATTGCTGTGTACCAGATGACCCCCCCCCCCCCGGGTGGGGGGGTTAAAACAACAAACACCTCTAAGCTCATGAGATAAAGACAAATGCAATGGAGCAGAGGCTGATGGGAGAAGCTGGACAAAGAGGACGAATTTATAGATGGAATAAGCAGTAGGTGGTTGGTTTACAGATGGAAATGATTTTGTTAGTCCTCCCGTAAGCAGATGCTAAAACAAGACAGGGTTAAATTCACCGTAATATTATCAGAGGAAACACCTATCAGAGGATAGGAGAGGGAGACAGATAATGCTGGAAGAGCCAGCAGACCGAGATGCCAGTCTGACCCCACATTATGGCCTGCAGGAGAAAGTTGTGTTGCACTATCACAGATCACCAGGCAACCTAAGTGAAGGTGAGCAAGGCTGGAGAAGAGTCCTCAGCTACAGTCAGCCCTCAGAGAGCCCCATGCCGCCTGGAAACCAGCCTGCCTTCATGTCCCTGCTGTGACCTGTTACTGTGTAACCCAGCCCATGGGAAGCAGGGCCTCTGCAGAAATATTGCCATGGATTGCAGAGTACAGGTGTGGGGGCCCTTGTGGGCTACCTGGGAGTGTGACCCAGATCTTCCTATCTGAGGGGTCTGGGCCCTTGGAAATCAAGCCATTTTCAGGCTGGGTTCCTGCACTTGTCCCTTCATAGTTACAATGGGGCGAGGGAGAACCAGGAGGCACCCACGTCTGTCACCCAGGTTCCCCCTACATTGCTCTTATCCCAGTTGTGTAAGAGGAGTCCCACCCCCTCCTGAGGATCAGGGTGGATTACTTCTGCCTGGAGAAGAGCAGACTCCTGCCCTGGGCACAGGGAGTCCAAACATCCCTGGTGGCAGCCATAATGTGTATGAGGTTCAGTCGATCCTTATTCCAGGACCTCCAACCTGCCGTTCCCAGAACTACAGAGAAGAGGAGCATAACCTCCCCCAGTGGGTGATTGGAAGCAATGGTACATGGATCAATACCTGCTTCCACCCCTTGGTTCCTGGACTCACATACTCTTCTTCATGAGACCACAGCACCATATAGAGATGTCTGATTCCATAAATATGTTGCATCATGGAAAATGGCAGGGTTTTCCCCCTAAAACTGACATCTTGTGCCTTAGAAGGCCATCCAGCATTTTGTGTGGCCGACTAGATCTGGACCATCTGAAATGTGACATGACAGGTAGATCCCATAGTCATGGCATATCCTGTACCTGCTTCACTGTGAGGGATCTCCCAGCCACATACCGTGTTAAGAGCAATTCTGAGCCCATGGATCAGGCCTTTTGATAGCCCCTAGACAGTGTCACTGGCTCTGTGGGGAGGAAAGGAAAGCGCTCACATGGCATAGGTGTCTGTCCCTGTGAGGATGAATGTCTAGCCCTTCCAGGATGGAAGGGGCTCAATGCAGTCAACTTGTCACTTCATGGACAGTTGACCACCTGAAGAGATGGTGTTATAGCAGGGCCCAGTGTTGGTCTCTGTTTCTGACAGGGTGGACATTCAGAGGTAGCAGTAGACCAAATGGGAATCATTGGGAATCATTGGGAATCATTGCTGCTGGATTCCTCTGTGGCTTTATCTCTGCCTTGTGGTCACTCCATTCATGCGCCCATTCCACCGGTCCTGGGCTGACTACTGATAAAGGCTTGCTAAGGTCAACTTGTCTGCTTAGTGTTTCAGTGTCTCTTCAGGGGTGGATGTTTTCTGATGAGTGTTAACATGTGATTCAGGCTTCAGTGCAGAGAAACCATTTCCATTTAGGATGGACTGCTGTGGACCTGGCTAATTTATGACTTAGTGTGTTATACAGAACCCAACATATATGGTCATTTTTTAAAAGTTTATTTTGAGAGAGAGAGAGAGAGAGAGAGAGAGAGAGAGAGAGAGAGAATCCCAAGCAGGCTCCACACTCAGCATCACGAACTGTGAGATCATGCCCTGAGCTGAAATCCAGAATTGGATGCTTAACCGACTGAGCCACCAGGCGCCCTGCATATGATCATTTTCAATCATGTGCCTGCTTGGTGTCCCATGGACAAGCATTCTCTCTTCTCAGGTCCTGAAACACACCACATGTTACCTCTAAAAGGGAATCTACTACTCTTTGTGGATGGCATGGGCTTTACTACAATACCTGAGGTGCCAGCATGTGATTCTCCTACTAGTGCTTTCCTTTAGCTCCACACCGCATCCTTTCCCAGCATCGACCCTTCTACCATCAGGAGGTCCAACAGATGGTATCTGAATGTAGCATGGCCTGGATCTTTCTGTTCTGGTCCCACTCAAAGCTAGCATCCCTCTAGGTCATCCAGACGTGGGCCAAACGTAACCCCCTAGGGGTGAAATGTGTGTTGCTGGAACCCCACGTGTCCCCTGGGCCATGTCCTTCCTTCTTTGCAGTGAGAGATGCAACTCGCAATAATCGGTGTCTTACCTTGGAGGGAATATCCCTGCATGCCCCTGACATCTAGATCCATAAACCTTAATC